CCCCCCAGCCAGGAGGCGTCAGTGGGGACCCCTCAGCAGTGACAAGGAGCCCCCCGACCTCTCACCCTCTGCCCCAGAAGTCGAGTCTTGAGTGTCGCTGTTGGGGAACCTGGCCTCTACCCCTACCTGGCAGTAAAGAGGCGGTGCCCTTACTCCCCCCATTGGAGCACCCAGAGGAAGTCCGCCAAAATGGCAGCTTTTTTACAAATGCAGAGTTTCGTAACATAATGCAGAAATGTCCACGTGTCCTTCGAAAACTAACTCATATCAGGAACCAGGAAGGTCTCAGAATGAATGAAAAAAGACGAGGTGTCAACACAGAGATGGGAGAGATGGCAAGACCGTCCAACAAAGAGGTCAAAGCAGCCACCACAAAACGCTTCACCGAGCGATTACAGACATGCTTTAAAAGGGAAAAATAAGAAATCTCAGCAAAGAAATAGAAGATGGAGAGAAGGAAATGGACATCTCATAAATTTCATAAATACTGTAATTGAAGCAAAAAAACCCCAATCAGTCGGCTCAACAACAAAGGGGAGAGGAATCTGTAAACTTGAAGAGAAAGCAGCAGAAATCACCCAACCATAAGGAAAATAAACTAGGGGGGAAAAAGAACAGAGCCCTGGGGCCCCGAGGGGATTCTAACAGATCTGACCTTCCCGTCACTGGAGTCACAGGAGAGAAGACAGAGGAGGGGCTGAAAAGTCCCTAAATAAAGGCTGAAAATGGCTCAATTTGGCAAATATTTAAGAAGTTACTAGAACCCCAGTTAGAATAAATCCCCCCGAACCACACCGAGACATATAGTTAAACTTCTGAAAATTGAATGTCTTGAAACAAAAATTTCTTGAAAAGCGCAGATTACCACCATTCACTTGATAGGAAACAGATAATCTGAACAGTCTGAAGCTATTACAGACATTGAGTTCATCATTTAAAAACTCTCAAAAAGGAAATCTTCAGCTCAAGATGGTTTCACTCAAGAATTCTACCAAGCAGTAAAGAACACCAGCTCTGCACACCCTCTTCCTATTCATCTTACGAGGCTAGTGTTACGCCGATGCCCAAACCAGACAAAAACGAGAGGAAAACTGTGGGCCAACAGCCCTCGTGGATACAGACACAAAATCCATAACAAAGCATTAGCAAATGGAATGAAGCCACATATAATAAGAATTACTCATTATGGCCAACTTGGGTTTAATCCAGGAGTGCAAGGCCGGATCAATATTTGAAAATTAATCCGTGTAATCCACCATATTAATGAACTAAAGAAAAATCACATGGTCATTTCAGTCAATGCAGAAGAAGTATTTCACAAAGTTCAACACCCTTTCAGAGACACAGGAATACGGGGGAGCTTCTTAAGTTATCAGAGTACTTACAAAAGACCCCTACAGCTGACGTTACACTTAGTGGTGGGGATTGTATGCTTTACCCATACAGCTGGGAACAATGTTCTCCACATTGTATTGGAAGTTCCTGCTGGTGCAGTGAGTCAGGAAAAGGAAATAAAAGGCATGGAGATTGGCAAGGAAGAATTAAACAGTCTCTATTTACAGATGACACGATTATCTAACTATAAAATCTCAAGGACTCTACAGAAGTGCCCTCGAACTAATAAGTGAGTGTAGCAAGGCTGCAGGATACAAGATAAACATTGAAAAATGAATTGTATTTCTCCGTATAGCAATGAGCACATGGACACCAAAATTAAAAATACAATACCATTTACAATTACTCCAAAAAGTGAAATACTTAGGTGCAACTCCAACAAAACACGTACACGGCTTGAAAACTAGAAAATGCTGATGAAGGAACTCAAATACCTAAATGAATGGAGAGACGCACTGTGTGTACGGATCGGATGTCTTAACGCAGTAAAGGCCTCAGTTCTTTCCAAAGTGATTAACAACACTTTTTGTAGATATAGACAAGATTATCATAAAATTTGTGTGGAAAGTCAAAGAGGTAGAATACCTAAAATATCTTGAAAAAGAAGAATGTAGTAGGAGGAAGCAGTCTAAATGATAGACAGCAAGGCATTATTTTGCCACACTAATCAGGACGGGTAGGAGCTGGCAGAGGGACAGACAGCGGAGCGGAATACAGCGCTCAGAAGTAACCCCACACAGACGGACCAACTGATTTTTGACAAAGGTGTCAGATCAGCTCAGTGGGGGGGGAAACAGCCTTTCCACAAATGGTCTGGGGCAGTCGGACATCAGAGGCAAAACAAAAACGAACAAAAAACCATGCCTTAAGTTTCACACCTTATACAAACATTACCTCGAAATGGGTCACAGATTTAAACATAAAGTGTAAAACTATAAAACGTCAGAAAAAAATATAGTAGATGACATTCAGGACCTAGGAAATAGACCAAGAGTTCATAGACTTGATGCCAAAAACATGATAAAAGAAAAAATGGGTAAATTAGACTTTATCAAAATGAAAAACGTATGCTCTCCAAAGGACCCTGCCAGGAGAACAAAGACAAGCTACAGACAGGAGAAAATATTTGCAAATCGCAGATAGAGGACTAAGGAGACTCAAAGCTCACCGGTATAAAAGCAAACAATCCAGTTAGAAAACGGAAAGCAGAGATGAAGAGGTACTGATGACAAAGGCACACCAGAAAGGTGATTAGGGAAATGCAGAATAGCTACGAGCTACCATTACACAGCTGCCAGAGGAGCTCAAGTGAAGAGCAGTGGCCACACCAAGTGCTGGTCAGGGCGCTGAGGAGCTGGATCTCTACGTTGATGGTGGGGATGAATGTAAAATGGTACAGCCATCTGGAAACGGTTTGCCAGTTTCTTTGAAAACAAAACATGCAGCTAGCCCAGCAAATTGCACTCCTGGGCATTTATCCCAGAGAAAGAGAAACATATTCACACGAATTCATGCACACGAATGTTTCCATTAGTTGTATTCATAGTAGCCCCAAACTGGGAAGAACCCTCATGTCCTTCAGTGGGTGAATGGCTAGAAGAAGCTGTGGTCCCTCTACTCTGTGGAACGCTAACTACTCAGCAAGAGCAAGGACAGACGACAGGTTCACAGAACCACCTGGATGAACCTCCAGAGAGTCAGGCTGAGTGATTCCATTTAGAGAACATTCTTGAAATGACAGCACTATGGAAATGGAGAAAAAACTAGTGGTCGCCAGGGTTCAGGAGGGGGTGGGAGGGAGGTGGGTGTCTATAAAGGGGCCGTGCGGTGATGGGGGCCAGGGTGTGGGCTGTGTTGATGTCACTATCCATGCTGTGCCATCTTACTGTACTTTTGCGCGTTGTAACCATTGGGGGGAAAAGGGGTCTCTGGAGTATTCCTTATAACTGCATGTGAATCTACAACTGACTTTAAAAAAAGGAAGTTGATAATCCACAGCCTGTCCGCTCACTGCCAACAAGCCCACACATGCGTGCTGGGTAGGAAGGGTTCTGCCAAGACGCAGACTCTTACTTGCAGTGGGAAGGAGGGGAAAAGAGCTCTCCTTCTAGATAGCTGTGACCTTGGCTGGCATAAAATAAATATTTGCTACAGAGTTATAGGTCCAGATCTACAAGTTAAAATACATGTTAAGGTAGGTTAAATTCAATTTCAGTGACCTTGGTGTTGAGCCTTGGAAAATATGGCCTCTTAGTTAACACTTGAATACATGGATTTCTGAAATTAAATCGGGTATGTTTAAATATTCAGTGGTAGGCAAAGGAGATGGAGGCAGCGGCCTGATTCCAAGGGGAATGTGGTTGCTTGCTGCTGCTGCTGGAGCCTCAGCGGGGGCTGCAAGGGAGCTCAGAGCACCCCCTGCCCTCCCCCCGCCCCCTGCCCTCCCCCCACTGCCCCCACCCTCCCCCCGCCCTCCCCCCACTGCCCCCGGCAACGCTGGTGTCACTGTGTACGATTCACACACATGCCCGGCTTCCCGGTCCCTTCCTGGAGGTCTCAGCGCCAAGGCGCCCCTGCGTCATCTTTTCCACTGACCACGTCCCCGGGGAGAGACAGGAGGCCCACGGCCCACGTACCAGCCCCCGAGCCTGTGCAGAGCCTGAGTGCCTGTGACCCCCTCCTCTGGACCTTCGGGTCTTTTGTGGATTGTTGGGTGGGAAGAATCTGAAAACATACGATAAAATCAAATTTAAAGTTGTTACTACTGGTTTTCTAAACAAAGTAATAAACCAGCTTCCTAATCACAGGTTGGCATGCTCCCCATGTTTACTGCTTTGGACCAAAGTCCCCGGAGAAGGAGTATAAACAGCACAGAGACGTCAGCGCGGGTGCCCCCGGAAAGACCCGTTGTCATTCCCATCGGTGACCCCTATTGTTAGCAGCTTCCTCTCCACTCAGACGTCAAATCCACTGCCAGGGAGAGCCCGGTGGGGGGGCGGGGATAATTAAGGCGGCAGGCGACAGTTACACACCCGCCCATTTGGGGAAGAGATACTGTTTATAGGGAGAGCAGCTGGTACTCAGAAGGTCCGAGGTACCTTGGGTGTGAGGGGCTACTTTGCGCGAGTCTGTTCTGTGGGCTGGTGCTGGGCACACCCCACCCCCAGGGAGCTGAGAGGGGCCCTGCTCCCTGCGGGGGGAAGAGGATGCGACCCTTTGCCAGGGGCCCTATTTCGGCATCAGTGCTTATTCCGTGCATTTTTGGTGGAAGGAACGTTTCCAGCCCTGACCTCTGTAGGATGTGGTGAAGGGCTGGCCACCTGACACTAATCCAAGAGAGGTCTGACGTGGGTGTCCATCTCCTCCAGGGTCCAGCAGACAAAGATGGACACTAGCGGACACACATGGAGCCGCCAACCGTCCAAGGGGCCGTGGGAGCCTAAGACGGAAGCCGTGATCTCTGTCACGGAGTTCACCTGTGCAGGGGCACAAATGGCAGAGACAGGGGTGGGAGAGCCCCTGCGGGTGTCCCGGCCCCCAGGGACTGACATGACCCCTGTTCCCTGGCCTCCCGTCCACAGCCTCCCAGTGGGAACCTGGGAGCTGCTCCCAGGAGGGGGCCACCCGGCCGGAAGACTGTGTCTGCGTCCAGCGCTCTGACGCTCTCTGGAGGGGACGGTATTTGACAGTCTCCTTCCGCCACCCTCCTGGCCTTTCCCAGCGGCTGTGAAGTCGTGAGTCAAGTTTGCTTTTATCCTGGAGCTTTATCACCCGATGAGATTGTAAGTGCCCGGAGCCAGGGTAGTATTTCACTTTCCTGTTACATCCGCCTTCCCAGGCCTCAAACACAGTGGTAGCAAAAGAATGAAATCTCCCCACCTCTGCCCGACCCGGCTCAGGTCCCTTTGGGCTGCCCTGGTGTCCCCCCTCCCTGCTCCAGCCCCCGCCTCTCGGGGGAGGGGACACCTGCCACCGCCCCCCTCCTCACGCTGGTGTTGTGCGCTAAATGCCTGGCTAAGACGGCCAGCCTGAAAGAAGGAAATCCTGTCGCTTGTCACAACGGGGACTGACCTGGAGGACATGACGCCGACTGACGTGAGCAGGCAGAGGGGCAAAGGCTGCAAGGGCTGAGCTCTGAATAGTCAGACCCAGAGGAGCAGGCGGGCCAGGGGCTGCAGGGGCGGCTCAGCGGGCGTGGAGTCTCGGTTACGGAGACGAGGGTGCTCCACAGCTGCTGACGGCACAGCGCCCTGGTTGAGAGCCCTGTGCTGTGCACCTGAAACCGCGTCAGGAGGGCAGGTCTCACGTTAAGTGAGGGGGGTGCAGGCAGCTCGGGGTGAGGGCTTCATCTGTTCCCTTGATTGTGGAGGGGCTCTCGGTGCTCTCGCAGGTCCAGGCTCATCGCACCGTACACGGTAACAGTGTGGCTCTTCGTATCTCAACTGTCCTCAGTAGAGCTGTTCAAAAATGGAAATAGTGAAATAAAAGAACAACAGATGTTAGCGGAGCCGCTTTAATTTTTCACTCTCTCTTTACTGAACCTCACGATTCCCCTGACCTAGTCCGGCAGCCACAGGGGCCACCTGGAGGCTGGGCCCCTCTGAACAAACCGTCCCCTGCGGGCGGAGCCCCTCCCCGCGGCAGCCCCTACGGCCAAGGCCCCGGACTCTGGTTTGATGAGGCGGCTGGGCCTCGGGAGGGCCGGGCCCTGGGTTTCTGGGCTCTGTGTGCTCATTGCAGGGTTGGGTGCACGGCTTTGCAAACATAAGGTGGCTTGCCCCGTAAGGAGAAAACAGCCCTGGGATACTCGGAGCTACGCCATGTCACACCCGCTGTGCCCTGAGGGGCCGCTGGGCCACGGCCAGGCTGGGGGCCCCGCATCATCAGACCTCAGAAGTCGAGCAAACGAAGAAGACGTGGCCGCGACCTGGGACCCAGAGGGGGCGGCTCAAGTCCGTGCTGGACAAGTGGACCCACCGCCAAGCAGGAGCGCAGCCTCGCGTCCGTGCCGGGCCTCGGGGCTCAGGGGTAGGCGAGCGTGGGGTCCCCCCCGGTCGCCCTGAACCACGGGGACAAGGCCTGATTCTCTGAATATTACAGCACTGCCAGTATTTATTGAATGTGTACCACGTGCCAGGCACTCTTCTAACCGTTTCCACGTATTTAATCTTCAAAACGACCCAGTGCTGTAGGTATTTTGTGGTCCCCATTCACAGATGGGGTAACTGAGGCAGAGCGTGACTAAGAAACTTCTTCGAGGTCACCCACCCAGTAAGTAAGTGGCCAGGCCGGGATGTGAGCCCAGGTTGCTGACTCTGGAACCCAAACTCCGAGTTGCGCTGCTAGGCAGAGTCTCCCAGAGGGGCGTTTCCACCCCCAAAAGCACACTGTCAGCATTTGGCCTTCCGTGGGGATGTCTCCCCAGAGGCTCAGGGTTGGGGCTCACGGTGGGTATGCCACGTGCACGACCCCGAACATGGGGGCCTCTTAAACGCATGCACAGGAGATCCCCAGGCGCTCGGAGACTAAAGTCAACTCCAGCTGCTACAGGACCGGGCGTCAGTGTTGCACTGAGTCCCAAGGGAGCGGCGCCAGATCCCTTCAGGGCCTACCATGTGCTCTTCTCCAGTCTCCTTCGGTTTCTTGGAAAGTACCTGAGATGAGGGAAGAAAGTCCAGATGCTACCGTGCACCGAGTTATCTTTCCTGCTTCCCAGGAGGCGTGATTCCCAAGGAACCGAAAGAGCCCAACACAGGTGCGAGGTCGTGGGGCTGGTGCTGCGCCCGACCCTAACCCCGGAGCATCCCGCGTCGCTGCTCGGACCTGATGTTCTGTCCTGAGAACCTGAACTGAGGTTCACATGACGTGAGGAGAACGTTAGACGTCAAAGTGCGAGTTCGCTTTAAGCATTTTGCCTCTTAAAACTCTTGTGTTTCCAGCCAGCACTTGTTCTGGGCGACGGGCCGTGTTTATAGAGCGAAGCAGGAGGGTCAGGGTCTGGAGAAGGGACACAGACACGCGGTTCTCGCTCCGAAAGCTCGTTTCACTTATAAGCGAGGTCGGTGTGCACTAACAGAGCACCTCACCTGTCTGTGACACCCCTTTAGAGTCAGAGCACCTGCCGACGTGCGCTGGGCCCGAGGGACAGCAGCGCGTTACCTGGGCCGCGACTGTCCTTGGGTAGCCTGTGTCCCTGCCTCGCTGCCCACGCGCTTTCCTTGCGGGGCATCCAGCGCTGTTGGGATGGACGAGGCGGCCCCCAGGCGAGGCTGCGTCAGCTGTGTTCCGACCAGGGCTCCTGGAAGCCAGGCGCGCTGGGCCTAAAGCCTCACACTGCTTCACTGACCTGACCGCGAGCGGATGTCCATCAAAGCCAGACACCCGGCAGAGTTTTCCTCAAGTATCAGGCTTGTCTGCTGAGCTGTCAAGTCTTCTGTGCATTCGTGTAACATCTGGGGATCTTATCAGCTGCCAGGTGGATGGATCCTACTGTCCTCACGGCCAGGCAGCCTGGTCACTTTGGTGACTTTGTAGCAACACGCCTACGTCATGGCAGCCACGGCTCCTTTTCTCCCCCTCCCCGGATGGCCGGGAACAAAGCAAAGAGCTCAGGAGGACTGGAGCGTGGCTGTGACTGTGACCAAACGAAGCCAGGACCTGCTGTCCAGGGCAACGCAGGAAGGGCCCCGGAGGCCACCGGGCTGCTGTCACAGCTGAGTGCAAGGGCCGGGGGGCTGCTGCTCCCAGCATCGTGGCACCTTGCTCCTGGGCGGGCCCGGGCGTGGTATGGGCCTAGGTACGCCATAGGCCCAGGTGGCCGCCCCTCCGGAGGGTCGGGGGGTAAACCTTGGTGTTGTCATGGCAGCGTCTTCTCTGCAGGGCTCCAAGCTGGGAAGGCTGCGTGAGGGCGGCCCCTGGGGCCTGCACCGACCCCCCACCCCATCTTGGAAGACGGCTTCCCCCGGGGCCTTAGGATCTGGACGGGCTCGGGGCCTGCTACCCTCCATTCTTCCCTTTCTCCCCTTTGGGACGGGGCTGTTTGTCCCTCGGAAGCGGCTGCCTGTCCGGTTCCACAGGCTCTCGGCCGGAGAGGACCTGGCCTCGGTGAATCGCCTCAGCCGTGTAGTTCAGGTGAGACTCGGGACTTTTCTGAGTTGATGCCAGAACAAACAACGTTCTGCGTGTGAGGATGTAGATTTTGGGGGGCCAGGAGCAGAATGCTGTGGACGGGCTGTGTCCCGCCCCCAAAATTCATATGTTGAAATCGTAACTCCCAAGGTGATGGTGTTAGGAGGTGGGGGGCTTTGGGGTGATTAGGTCATGAGGGTGGAGCCCCATGGGATTAGGGCTCTTATAGAAGGGACCCGAGAGAGTGCCTCACCCTTTCTCACGTGTGAGGACACGGCAAGGCGGCCCTAGAAAGGGGGTCCTCCGCAGACCAGACCACGCTGGCGTCTTGGTCCTGGACGTCCAGACCCCAGAACCGTGGGAGCTAAGTTTCTGTTGTTTGTGAGCCCCGAGCCTGTGCCGTTCTGCTATGGCTTCCACACCGACCCAGGCGCGGCAGCAAAGTGCGAAGTGGGTCCTTGCAGTTATTTACGTCTGAACAAACGTCCCTCCCAGAAAGTCGGAATCTCTCTGACTTGGAGGCTGCTCAGGCCCACGAGGAGATGCACAGACCCGATGCCCCAAAAGATCTGCCCAAAGTGCCCAGCTGGGAGGTGGCAGGGCTGAACCCCAGCCTGGTGACATCCTTATAATAACCGCAGAGCCCGAGGAGGCCAGTGCTCTGCAAGCGGGAGGGAGTGCCGGTGGGATCCCAGACCTGGGACTGCCCTCCCCCCAGGCCCTGCCCTGTGTGGCTGCAGGGGGGCCTGTGGCCCCAGCAGAACAGGGGCTGAGTTCGGGGCGTAGCCCTGTCTGAGGAGGGCTCCACAGGGGTCCCCACCTGGTCACTCACAGCCTGAGAGCATCACTCAGACCAGAGGCTTTTACTTTCCCAGTTGGGGTCTTTCTGGACAGTCAGTTCTGCGTCCCAGAGTCCTTGCCCCAATCGGTCAGAAGTCATTTATGGGCTGCTGGGGGATCTTTGTGAAGTTTCCCTTGAACAAATCCCCAGTAAATTATGGAAGGGACACCCTGCCTTGCTACCAGGTAAGTGATGCTGTGACAGTAGGGAAGCACTCTGAGTTTTGCATTTCCTCTTAGAATGCACAGGGCACTGGGCTCCTTGCTGAGCTCAGGAATGGCAATGCAGAGCCCGTTAAGGCTGTGAAAGGGCAAAGCTGGAGAAGCAGGGCCTCGGTCTGTGGAGGCGTCTGGTTAACCTGAGCCTCGTGAGACAGGATGCCGTCTGCAGGTTCCCCGAACTGAGCCGGGATCCAGCAGGTGTGGCCACGCCCAGGCCAGCCCCTCTGTTACCTACAGAGGGGGGCGCGGTGACTTTTTATTCTGAGTCCAGAAGTGTATTAATTGTTGTCATTCAGTTAGCTCAGCTCAGTTTCCAAGGCTCAGTCCTGATGTAAAACCTCGGTCTCCATCTCTCCCTCTCCACCCTGTCCCGCCCCACCTGGGCGCAGGTTTGGGATGGATGGGGGCGCTGCTCTCCACGCTCCCTCCCCCCAGCGTCTCCCTGGACCCAGGGCGGGGCAGGGCGGGGAGATGCACGCACGTGCACCTGCGGGCTGACTTGCGGGCTGTCTCCTGGAGACCAGCGTGTGGGGTTGGCCAGGCGCACCACCGCCACCCCTGTGGCACCACTTCTAGCCGATCCCGATGATGGCCACCCTCCCCTGGGGCCTCTGCACCAAACCTGGGCCATGGGACCGCTACCGCCTTTTGGGTGGATGCCTCTATACACATTGTTGAGTTTAAGGTGCCCGGTGTGGCAGTGTGATACGTGGTACATCAGGTGAACACCACGATGAGCTTAGTGAATGCCTCCACCACATCACACAGTTACCGCTCCGCTTCTGCGCTAAGAACCTTCAAGATCTACCCTCTTAACAACATTCACATTTAGAATACGGTGTTGATAACTGTAGTCACCACGCTGAACAACGGAGCCTGGAACTTCCTCATCTGTAACTGTTCAACGGGAGGTTTGTATCCTTGGGGCACCATCTCCCCATCTCACACGACAACCCCCTGCCCGCAGCCCTTGGTAACGACCATCCTACTCTTTCTCTTGAGTTTGGTTTTTCTAGATTCCACATGTAAGGGAGATCACACAGTGTTTGTCTTTCTGTGTCTGACTCATTTCGCTCAGCCTAACGCCCTCAGGGTCCATCCGTGTTGCTGCAGGTGGCAGGACTTCATTGCTTTTTACGGCTGAGTAACATTCCATTGTGTGTATGTACATCGTCATCCATGCATCCGTCGATGGACACTTAGGTTGCTTCCATATCTTGGCTACTGTAAATAATGCTGCAGTTAACATAGGAGTACTTATATCTTTATGAATTAGTGTTTTTGTTTTCTTCAGAAAAATGCCCGGAAGTGGAATTACAGAACACGTGGTAGTTCTGTTTTTAGCTTTCTGAGGAACCTCCACACTGTTCCGCACAGCGGCTGCACCCGCTTACGTTCCCACCAACAGTGCGCGAGGGCTCCCTCTTCTCCGTGTCCTCGCCAGCGCTTGCCATCTCTCGTCTATTTCATGAGGCTGTTGTGGCAGGTGTGAGGGGGTGTCTCCCCGAGGTCTGGTTTGCATCCCTGACATCCCTGGTGTTGAGCACCCTCCAGCCATTCTCACGCTACGTGCTGGCTGAGCCACAGCTGGTCCCTCCCACAGCATGCTGGGTGAACCCTGCCCTCTGTCTTCGGAGTGTTCTGCCCGCGCCTTTGGCCGGGGCTACAGGAAAGGCAGCTGACGGGGCCCCAGGCCCGGGGCTTATCCTGGGAGCCCCGTGAGGGCAGAGACCGCCCCCAGCCCCACCGCCTGCTCAACACTCACCTGGATCCAGCGCCCAGGGGGAAGTTGCCCAGGAGAGGCGGGTGTGTCCTGAGGTCCCCGAGGGCCCCGGGATGCCCCCTCAGATGGATGCTGGCTCTGCACCCCAGCTCACAGGTGAGGCTGTCTGCCCAAGGCTGTGGGTTTCTTCACAGCATCCTTTTCAAGTCTCCTCTTTTTCTTTGCTGCCCCTCCGCTCCGCCATGTGGGACAGTCTAGTGCACGAAACAGCGCACCCAGGCCTGGCGGGCAGCTCCCGCTACCTTCCAAGAGCCATGTCTCCACCTCTCCCAGGGCCCCCTCCTCTCTCCTGAGGGCAGGCTCCCCCGGCGCCTGGGTTCTCAGAACCCGACCTGCACACCCTCCCAGCTCTCCTGTTTCTCGCCTCCCCTTTCAGGGCTGACTTTCTGTAACAGTTGCTAAGAGGATGTGTTCAGTATCCGGGGATAATCTTACGTTCTGCCTCTTGTTTCTGGGACGGGCCGGGGCAGTGATGCAGAGCAGGCCTGTGCTCTTGGGACACTCAGGCTAAGATGCTTTGTGCAGGGTGGGGTCAGGGGGTGACATTCCAATTGATCCGTGACTGTGTTTCCCTGAAGCAAACACTTGTTTTTAGGCCTGTGTTTATATGCATCGAAGTTTGATCCTGTCTCTGACACCTTACCAGCTGTGTGACCTTGGGCAAGTTACTGGACCTCTCTGCCTTATTCTGTAAAACAGGGTAGAAACAGTGCCAGCCTCCTAAATCCTTGTGAAGATTTAATCAGTTCACATCATGGAAAGAACTTAGGAGCGTCCCCGAAACATAGTAAGTGCTCAGTAGTGTTGGGTGGGATCGTTATGACTGTTATACTTTATGCCACATTCAGTGATTTTTATAGCAAGATGGCACCACGTGTGCCGTAATTTAAGGAGAGAGTAAAGGTCCGATATGGATTGAGAGGGAGGGAGGGACTGGCTCACGGGATCACGGAGGCCTGCAAGTCTGCAGTCTGCAGCATGGCCGCAGCCTGGGGACCCGGGAAGAGCTGAGTCTGGACAGTCTGGAGGCAGAATTCCCTCTCCCTCGGGGACCTCAATCTTTTCCTCTTCGACTGATTGGACGAGGCCCACCCACACCGGAGAGGGTGATCTGGTGGTCTACATGTTCATCATGGCTACAAAACACCCTCAAGATGACATCCAGACAGTTTGAGCAAACATCCGGGCACCGAGGCCAGCAGACTCAACCCTGAAGCAGCGCTGGAGTTAGCGGCTTGGTCCCAGAAATGCACCAGCGAGAGGTGCTTCAGGGGCGAAGGTGACAGTGAGTGGGAAGAGCTGACTGACAAAGGGAGTGGGAGCCAGTGAGAGCAGCACGGCCAGAGGTTTGCATTTCCCTTTGTTTTGCTCTTGGTTTAAAGATGGGCTAGACCCCGCCAGCAGTTCTCAAAGTGTGGACCAGCGTCACCGGGGTTCCCGTGAGAAGGGCATGTTCCTGGGTCCCCCAGACCTACTGGATGGGGAACTCTGGGGAGAGGGTGCTGGCCTTCCGGGGTTAACGAGCTCTCGGGGGACCCCAGTCACCTCAAGTTGGAGCACCACTTGCGTACACTTTTGTGCTGAAGCGGGGGAAGGCGGGACCGGGAGGACGGGGTGGTACCTGGGAGAGAGGAGGCCCCGCCCAGGTGGCCGTGGAGGCCTGAGGGCACGTGGCCTGGGGCCAGTTGTGCTCCTGGACAAGTGTGGCTGTTTTTGCCCTTGGACCAGTGGGAAGGCGGACGTGCCCCCTGCACTTTGGGGAGGGCTGGGCCAGGCGTTTCTGGACACTCCGCCAGGTGACTGGCCTTCCCTGCAGTTGGAGGCGGGAGGTCGTGATGGGGGCAGGCTGGCCTGACGCGGGTACAGCGGGGTTTGCATCAGGTGCAGAAGCCCAGGCCGTGTGTCCACAGGGAGAGGCTCACACCTTTCCTGACCCCCACGCCCTTCGCTGGGCTGCACTCTGAACCGCACAAAACTGCTGACATTCAGTGGGTCTTGACGTTAAAAAAGAAAAACCATCAGTTTCTTAGCTTTACTCCACTTTCCATGTGTGGCTATCGTACCTTCATTTCATGTTGCAATTATGTGTTTCCAGATCTTTCTTGCCCCCAGACCCTTGAGCTCTGAGGGCAAACGCTGGGCAACCTTCACCTTTTCACCCCCGCCCCCCCCCCCCCCCCCGCTCCTGGCCATCGGTGCCGACGGTTAGGGCACACGCTGTGCTGACACGAGCTGCCCACTTGAATCCCCAAAACCACTGACGAAAACGGGCACTTCCTCCCGAGACACTCCCTCTGTGATGCCAGCCTCTAAGGGATGGCCAACCCCGCGGTAAGGAGAGGCCAGCCAGGGTCAGAGCGCACACGTGGTGCACGCACATCCCTGGGAAGCGGTGCCATGGCCGGGCACACTCACGACTGGCATCTGCAGGATGCCGGGCTGCAGAACGCGCTGGGTGGCTTCGTGCCAACCGTGGCGAGGTCCCAGGGCCCGAGTCTGGGCGCGCGCTTCCCACCTGCGCCTCGCGTCCTCGGGGCAGGCGGCGCAGGGGGAGCGGCCGGTCCACCCCTCCACCCGCGGACCCACCGACCTACTCACCATGGGCGGCGCGGGGAGGGCGCGCTCGGCTGCTGCGGCCTCTGCACCTGCCTGGGGGCGGCCGGAGGTAACGGCGGGCAGGTTCCCGTGCTCGCGCCCGGAGCTTCCCCTGTCTCTGCGGGGAGGGCAGAGAGTCGAGCGGCTGGAGGGGTGGGCCGGGCTGCGCCTCTGCGCCCGCGGGGAGGGGAGGGGCGCGCTGCGGGCTGAGGTCGCGGCGGGGTGCGCCCGCCCGCCCGCGGGGCTCCCAGGTGGCCTTGGGGGTGCGCGCGCGGGACTGTCCGGGGTCCGTAGGTGCGCGCGCGGGGCTCCCGGGTGACCGCGGGGGGGGGCCCTTGCCGAGCACCCTGGTCACCGCGGGGGTGCACTCGCGGGGCTCCCAGGTGGCCGCGGGGAGACGCGGGGCGCGCACCGCTTCCGCTTCCGCCGAGCAGCTCCCCGCACCCCGCGCAGGGCGCGCCTCCTTGGCGAGGCTCGGGGACCAATCCCGGGAAGGCAGCGCTGCCGGCCCCCTCCCCACCGCCTACCCCGCCCATAAAGCACCTCTGGTGCAGAGGAAAGCAGGGCTGCGGGACCCTTCTGCTCGGTCTCAGGATGAGGTTCTGGCTGAGAAATGACGAGATGGCCCTGGAGGAAATGGTGCAGAGACTGAATGCGGTTTCCAAGCGCACTGGTAGGCGGAGCCGCTGGCCCTGAAGCCCGTTCTTGAGCTTGACATCATGTGCTGAGTCTAGGGAGATGCGGCTGGGTTTTCTGTAACAGCCTGCATTTCTTCTTCCAAGCTGAGGTAACAGGACAGCAGAAGGACGGCTTTGGTCTGGCAGCTGATAGGCTCCGTGGCCGGTCAGCCTGATTTTATTCCGCCTAGGAAGGGGGACAGAATTGCAGATTGGTGGCGGGCTTTCTGGGAGACCCCAGGTTTGTACGGGGAGCCGTGGTCTGAAATCTGCTCACTCAACCCGCATTTCGGCTTCATGGCTACAGTCGCAATGGAGAAAGCGTATGTGTTTGTGGCCTGAAAATAACGTGAGCCCGGGCGTTTCGAGCTGGTGTAGGGCTGGGGGAGCGTCAGAGGCTCATCTTGAGGAGGGGGTATCTGGTCAGTCAGGTAGTTCTTCTCTCCACCAAATATGACGCGAACCTAAGACAGATGTTGGAACGCGGTGTGGCTGTGGAGCGGGGCACAGCTTGACTCGATGCTCGTTTTCTGCCCCGAGTAAAGGATGACTCACGATTAGCTTTGAGGACAAGTTCCCAGGGGGTCGTTTGGATTCAGGAGAGCCCTGCGCAGGCCGCGCTGGGCGCTGCTTTCAGGCGGTCACTTCTGAGCCTTCCTGCTGCGTGTGCAGGGGCACATCGGCCTGGGCTCGTTTTCCTTGAAATGAGTGGGAAATAAGCGGGTATTATTAACAGTGAGTCGCCAGCCTATTGCCTGACGTCGCCCTGCGTTGTTACAGACTGTGGCCTCATTGTCTGAATAATGCTTTCCTGAGAGATTAGGTTATTTGGTGTGGGGCATGGTATCCCCCCAACCCTCTCTTATAAGCGCGGGACCCAAAGATTTGGAGAGCAAAGCAATGACTAAGTCGGTGTAAACACACTGTATGTGATGGTCTAACCAAGACTTTGGGAGACATTGTTTTTAATGGTGATTTTTGTGATTAAAGCTGCTGGATTTATTGTAAATGGGTCAAAAGCAAATAAAGCCATTTTGTGCCACGTGGCCCCTTATTCTTAGGAAGGGACCCCTTTTTCTGACACGCAAGTTGTGTTTCGCTGGGTACAGGATGCGGCGTGCAGCTGAGGTGAAGGGCACGGGACTGGGCTCCAGGTGCCCTCTGCACTGGGCTGGAGCTGGGATTACAGAGCCAGCGGGAACTGTTCCCAAGAGTGATGTCATCCCTGCGTTTCAGGGATGCAGGCTTCTTGGTGAGCTCGGGAGACGCATGTGCACTTTGAATTGTGAAAAGGCCTCCTGCCCAGAGCGGGGAGGTGCTGACCGCCCCCCGAGTCATGCTGCGAGCCGGGCCCTGGGGGACCATCGCCTCGCTCTAAACAGCAGCTCTCTAGGTGTGTCCTTTGACACACCTGTGCTCCAGGCTCCAGTCTCACCAAGACTCTTGAAAATCCAGGTCAGCAGATGCTGGCCTTAGGAACACCCCATCGGGCTTGGTTAGCGGAGACCTGCTTCCCTCCCACTAACGCTGCCTTTTCACTCCTGCAATGGGGAGGTGCCACCGGACGGAGGCTGTGAGACATGGCGCCGGGCGTGTGTCGTGCGGTGTCGACACGGTGTCCCTCGCCGAGCGTGGGTGGGTTACACGTGCTCTTGTGGGAACGGGGATATAGGTCACTGTAAACCCCCTGCCAGCTCAGGTCTGTATCCCCAGCACTTCCTCGGAGGAAGCCCCGTCCGTAGCAGAACGGCTCTGTCTGGAGGCCACAGAGGTCACCTGGATGCTGCTGTCGCGATTCAGGGGAGGGGGTTCGGAGCGGAGGCTCGGGTGCCCTGAGCTCTCCCGGGGCTGGGTGGCAGCTCCCTGCGCGGAGCTGGACCCTCCGAGGCCCTACCCCGGACCGGCAGCGTTTTCTCTCGCCTGCTGTGCGGACGTGCCGCCGCCTGATTTTAGCTTCAGGGTTATCGTGGCCCCGTGTCCTCCAGGACAGTCATCATCCGGTCAGTCCACCTGTGAGGGAGGCTGACGCTTGCTGCCCGTGTGGCCTGTGAGGCTGTTGACCTTGAGAATTTAAATTCTCTGGACTCTCGAACTCAATCTTTAGTCACAGGGCCGGGACCCCCTTCCATGTGCTTGGACTCCTTTTCCAGCATTTTCATTGTTTTGGTTTTCTCCCTAGATTTGCAGTAAGTGGGGACAAAGTACGAAACATTTCAGGCAGGGATGCTAATGGATCGAGTCCTTGTAACATTTGCCCAACTGGAGCGTCTGGATCTTCTGGAGGGAATCATCTCAGGTTCCGGGGCCACCCCTAGAGTTTCTGATTCAGGAAGTCAGGGGCCTGAGAATTTGCATTTCAAGTTCTCAGGTGACATTGAAGGTACTGGTCCAGGAAGCAAAACTGGAGAAACACTTAGTAGAAACGTCTTCAAATCTAGTGCCACCTTCTCCACTGATTGCCCTTGAGCGAAGTGCCAGCTTCTGTCGTGGGTGGATGGACGGACACACGGATGGATAAGGATGGATGGGTGGGTGGATGGACGGACGGACGGATGGACCCATGGACGAGGTTGCACACAAGACAGTAAAGATAGAAGCTCTACCACATTTCAGAGTTTTCATGTCTCCTGATGAGGGCTAACAACTCCTAGCTCTTTGCATGTTGAAGGAACAAATCATTGGTTTGCATCAGGACGTAAGCAGTGAGGCCGTTCAGCCCCGGGACCCTTACTCTTTATCCAGACATCTTCCTTTCTGCCCTTTCGGTCCCATCATCTCATCTTTTACACCACCTTTAACCACAAGGCAAGAAGCTAAATGCAACTGCTGTCCCAGCTGCTAACTCGGCCTGTTGGGGGCAGGGATGCTGTCCCAGCACCATCATTCTAGCAGCACCTGAGTACATGGTGTTCACGTGTCTGACCTGTTCCCTTTAAGGACCCAGGCGTCCCACAGTCGTGTCCTCTGAAAGCCGTGATCAGTTTGCAAGAAGTGAGGCTTTGTAGGGTTCCTATCGCTGAGCTCCCTAGAGAGCCCCGACAGAGGGAAGCGGATGTAGCTTTGTGCCAGGCCTGACCTGAGCCGTCTCTTTGTAGGGAAAACAGACACCGTTGGGTGGAGAGGACGTGCAGGAGACTGACGGCCCGGGGGAGGGGCCGCTGCAGCCACAGCCTGTCCTCGCCTGTGCGGCGGACTCCGCTGGGCGCTGGGTTGTTCCTAAGGAAACCGTTCGGCTCTGCGGCTGGTCGTTGTGGTCCTGCCGCCCCCCTGCACTCCCGCCCCACCTGGGACAGCCTGGCTTCAGCCCAGGACTGCCACCTCCGCCCCCGGCGCGCCCACTTCTCGCCCGAGGCGGGCTCTGCCCTGGTCGTGCCTGGTCCCTCCAGGATGTGCCTGCCTGGGCAGGGGACTTCCTCCCTTCTGCGTGGCAGGGCTTGTGGTGGCTCTTCTGTGTCCAGGGTCTCTGGTGACGCTCACCCCTTCCTCCGGACCCCCGACTGGTGCCCACGCCCTGTGGTTGGCATCGCTGGGGCTGAGCTGCCTTTTCTCTGTACCAGCCTGAGTCCTACAGCCCGTGAGGCGGCCCGGCCCCCCTCCCCTACCATCCGCGCTGCGAGGAGGGCGGTCACCTCTCCCCGCCCCCTCGTAACACTTCCTAGGGGCTTGCTCAGGATGGTAGGCGGGAGCACAGCCCTTCTCAGCTTTGTAAAGGGGAAGCAATGGCTTTATCTGAAGAGCTTCTACACACGGCGAAGCAGTAAGTGGTGCTGAGGGCAGCGTTTGCTGAAGTTTCGTGAACGTGCCTTGGTCACCCGCCCTTGCAGCTGTCCTCTGTCTTGAGATGCTTGGTGCAACCCTGGTTTCCTCCCCGGGACTGAGCAGGGCTGTCTTTCTGATTTGCCAGGTACCGCCTCTGAGGTTCCAGAAGCGCCAGGCTTCGCGTCTCCTCGAGATGTGGGGACTGTCCTCTTCCTGGGGAAGTTGTACTTCTCCTGGGTTGCTTCAGAGAGTGAACCCGCGAGATGAGGATGCAGGGGGATCTTGGGGTGAGCGCCCCCCGGCTGATCGGCAGCTGGAACCTGGTTCTTTCTTCTCTGGTGGGTGGAAAACTCTGAGGATTCACTTAATACCTCTTTGTTAGGTGTTTGGTTTTTCATCTTTGGAGTTTGCTTTTTCCCCATACATAAATAGACCAAACATGGGCAGTTAATGAGTCAAAGAAATCGTGTGCTCCTCTACAGGACTTAGGATTTGAGCAAGTGATTGTCAAAATCTTGTGTTTTAATAAAAGGAAGAATTATATTTTACCAAGGAGAAGTCAGCATGTAATTAAGAAGCTCCCTTCAGCCTCACACCCCCTTGCCCTGTGCAGAGCTGGGCCTCGGCTGGCCACGCCCTGGCCTCTATTATGCATGTTATTAACTACGTCGTTTGACTAACATCCCAGTAATGAAAGGTGGGGATTCTCCAGGCGAGTGAGAAGGAAAAGGAAGTGTCCTGGGGGAGTGGGAGTTGGCTCAGGGGGGCCCGGGCCGATGACCCAGGCGGGGCAGGTGTGCAGAAGACACACACGGGCAAGTCCGGGGCCCAGACCCCTTTCCCCAGCTCAGACCCCACAGATGCACACGTATGAGAGGAAGTCGAACTCTGGGGAGGAGACTTTCAAGAAAATTTAAAGTTGAAAATACAAAAGAGCTGATGGTTCTTTCTCAGCTTTCGAGCTAAGTGCCTCTTATGTGTCTCAATTGGGGTTTCAACGAATGCGCTGGGTTTTTGCTTTATTCCATTATTAGTAGTGTGAAAGAAATGAGTCCCAGCCTCAAAGCACGACCAGTTCCTCATGCTTATTGTCATCTGCGTGGCCGTGGTACTTACTTCAGCAAAGGAAAGAACTGGTATCAAAATGTCCCCAGATGACATCTTGGAGAGATATTAGGGATGGTGAACTAATGCCCCCCATACGACTTCACTTTTGTAAGGGTGCTTTATCTTTAAGGACAAAATTTTCTACTGTTTTGATTCCTGAATCCTTAAGAAGGGGAACGTGTCATTTGATACTTAAATGATAACAAAATATGGAAAGCAGTTGAATGCACACAGATGGTAGGTCTCCGTGGTTTATCAGTTTTATAACTATGCCTCCATCAATTCTGGAGGACTAAAGTTTTTACTGTCTTCTCATCTGAAACCACACCCTTAGTGTGGACAGGATCACTCATTCCTGGGGACACTTTCATTCATTCACTCACCGGACGCTTAGGGAGCAGAACCAAGGCCGGGCGAGCAGGGCAAGTATGTCCACCACGTGGAGGGTTACTGCGAGGTTCTGTCCGGATCCGGAAGCTTCGCCGGGAACAGTCCTCAGACACAGCCGTCACTAAACGTGATCAGTGTTAGAACCTGAGCAGTTCACGGGCTGCGTGCTTGTTCCCAGCACAGGGAAGACCCTTATGTGAAGTGTGGCCCAGCCACGACCCAATCCGTGTCTTTGATTTTTGTGGGAATTCCCTGGCGGTCCAGTGGTCAGCATTCCACGATTCCATTGCAGGGGGCACAGGTCCGACCCCTGGTCAGGGAACTAAGATTGTGCATGCTGCATGCTGCAGCCAAAAAGAAAAGAAAAGAAAGAAAGAGTTTTGCAAACACAGCTTAGAAAGGGCCTGAATCACCTTGTCATCTGTTATCTGTGTTTTAAAAGATTTCTAAAGTCATATGCCTTGGGCATCATCTCCAGATGTTGTCATGACTAGTCAGTCAGTTGTGACGTATCCTTTATTTAAAGCAATTAAGCATATCATTTAAGAAGCTCGTTTTTAAGAGTAACTAGTTCCAGACTCTATAATGGCCTGTTTCTCCACACATGGTTTTATTCCTAGGTTACAGAAGCCTCTGAGTTTTAGAACCATAGCAAGTCTTACAGGTTACCTTGATCGCCCAGCTCCCAGAACTTTCTTTGTTAGAGGGAAGACATGTGCCTGGAAATGACAGAAAGCATCCCTACTCGATGCCCCTCCTGAACACGGAACAACTTAGGAGGGACTGGCTGCGCGGCTGCCTCAGGAACCGTCACTAGATGGGACCACAGGTTGTGGCCGAGAGCGGTGCCAGGTCATGGGGCCGAGCCCGAGGAGGACTCGTCAGGTGTGTGGCCGCCTGTGGACCTCAGTGCTCACTGGACCCGAGACCACACAGCCAAAACGAATCCCCTCTCCCCCCGACCCAGTGCAACAGGGGCACCAGGCACCAGGTCGAGGAAAAACCCAGGGAGGGATGAAGCGGGCAGTAGGGCCATGCTTGTCCAGGCTTCGCGGGGCAGGGGCTCCTCGGGTGCAGGTGTGCTCACCGGTGCGACGGCTTCATGGGAATCCACTGACTCCACGTGTGAGCCACGGGCTGCCCTCTGTACGCGGTATCCCAAGAAGAGCGAGGGGCACACTTTTTGCACCTCAGTTCGGAGCGTGGTGCTCCCACCTGCATCCTGCCCCCGGAGGGTTGAATTTTCAATCACCCAGTGTCTCACTTGGCATCAGACCTGCACTGAGTGACTCCCTGCTCCCCTGGCAGGATTAAAGGCTCTTTTACTGCCAAAAGCCATGCCATTTATGGAATTTCCTAGTAACTTGAGGCCATGTTGTATGAAATACACCCCTGGGTCCAGAGAAGTGAGTCCGGTTCGTGAATGGCCTTCAGCTTACCTGGCCAGCGTCCTCCCAGGAGCCCTGGCTCTCAGGAGTCTTTGTGATTTCTTCACGGGGTCTTGGGGAGGAAACGCCCGCCAACTGCTGGTAAAATCCCGCAGAGTCTCAGGATGCTCTGACACCCGAGGCTGCAAACGTGCAAGACAAAGAAACCAGCAGTTTGTGAGTGAGGCCCCAGCGCAGAGCAGACTTTTGGAAAAGGGTTTAATTAGTAACATCTTTAAAACAATTAGATATTTGGGAGAAAGTGGATTAACCCCGGCCACTGGGTGGGAAGACAGTACTGGGTCATAAACCGTCTGCACTGGTGCGCGGGGGCGAGTTCTGACTCACCGGCCCGACCCCCAGCGTTCAGGGTTCTCTGTGCGAGCCGCACGCACGGGGAGGGACACAGCCCAGGGCGACGGCTCGCTGCGGGTCCCGGTAGGGACCACGTTTCCACGTGGCTGTTCCCGAGGCGCTGCACGCTGGTTGCGGGAAGGGGCCTGTGTCCCGGACGTGCCACATCAAACGCACCATCTGTTTCCTCTGGATCGTGTGCCGGGCCAGCCTCTCTCGGAAGCCGGTGTGAAAACGCAAGCGTGGACGGCATCTGCTCCGGCTTGGGTGTCGTGTCGTGTCGGGACCTCTCGTGGGAGGAGGGTGAACCAAGGCGTCATGGTGCGGCCCTGTCACCCGGGCTCTGGGAAGAGCACCCAGGTGCTCCCCCCGCCCACCCTGCGACCTTGAGCATCTAGTAAGCGCCCGGAGCCCGGGGAGCCCTCGGTGTCACACGGCGTAATCGGCACGGAGCTGCGTGCAGGGCTCTGCCACGCCCAGGGTGCCCGGCCGCCGGCCCGCAGCACAGGCGTCCCTGGACGGTCCCGGGCGGCCTGCTCGGGGGCCTTGGCCGAGGGGCGGCTCAGCGTCTCTGTGTGGAAAGTGTTGCTCACCAAACAAAGCAGCGTTAGGGTTTCCTCTCCCGGAGCCGAGCTGCAGGAGTGACAGGGGGCGGAACTGCCGGTTTATTTCAAGAGAGCCCGGGCCGCGTCCCCTGAGGCCCTCCTGCCACGTTGTTTGTTTGGACGTGAGGCTTCCTGAGCTTGGAAGGGGCTTTGGCTCTAGCAGCCCCTGAGTCTGGGAGCTCCGCCACCACTCCCCACCCCCAAGGAAGGAAACGCCCAGGACTTGCAAGTAGACAGCCGAGCCGAGCCTCGCCCACAGCGGAGCCCTTCCCTGACGAGTCCTGCGCCCTGCAGCCAGGCCCCCCCACCCCGGTGCGCAGCTGCCCGAGTGGCCTGGCGGTGCCGGGCGGTGTGGGGACCGTGGCCTGGACGTGCACGGTAGACCTGAGGTCACCCGGGGCCTTGTCCCAGCGCAGCGCGCAGCCCACGCCCGGCACCCCCGCTCCACGTCCCGGAGTCGGCTCGGCTTTCGAGTGAGTGTCCCCGACGGAGCCCTGCGGGGCAGCCCTCGAGTGAGCCCGTCCTGAAGACCCGCTGCCGCTGCCGCTGCCGCTGCCGCTGCCGCCGCCGCCGCCACTGTGTCCCCGGTGGGGAGACGACACGATGGCCGAGAGGGGCGCGTCCCGGGGCCCCCCCGGGCGCTGGCTCTGCCCGCTTCCCCTGCTGCAGTGCTGGAGGCGTCGGGCGGCCTCACGGTGCCCACAGCCTGGTGAGGCGGGACGGGTGGCGCTGGTCGCAGGGCGTGGGAACCAGCGCCTGGGTCCCTTGGCGGGCGGGTGGCTCCCTGTATATTTCTTTCACCAAAGAAATGTGTGCCACTCACAGGACTTTTCGGAAAAAGGCTGGAATAGAAAAGCCATGTTGGGCAGCCTTGACTGAGGCTGGGGTGCGGCTCTTATCTGGTTCACTTTGTCCTCTGTCCCGAGGGCCCTGGGCTCTGGCTGGGAAAGGCTCAGCCAGACGGCGCAGGACAAACCCTCGTGGGTCTCGAAGGATGGTTTTCCTGGCTGACTGCCCCAGGAGTGGGGCTTCCACGGGGCTGACTTGGAGAAAAGAGCCCCATCTCCCTGCTCTGCTCCTTCGGCGGGGGGCCCCTTCCTCCTTCGGGGACCTGGAGGGCGGAGGGTGGGTGCTGACCAAGGCACGCTCCGCGCAGCCATGAGGCTGGGATCGCTTCCCAGGACAGACGCCCGTGTGTCTGCAATGTGCGGCATCAGAAACAACAGGTCAGAGCCGGCCCCTCTGTGGCTCAGCCCACGGTCCTCTCCTTTTCGGGGAGTGTCGGACAGCTGCCTGGTGCTGGGGAGCACCGAGAGAGGGGGCAGGGCGCCCCGACTGGACGGAGCTGCGCGCGTGGCCCCGGTGGAGCTGGACTCAGCCTCATGCTGCCGGCTCCGTGGCCGTCATTCTGGGCTCAGCCCCGTCAGCGCCCACGACGCAAGGCCTTTCACCAGG